GCGTTATATCTATCGCCGTTTAGCGCTCCAGCTTGCTGCTAACAGAGGCCGGCTTGGTCTTCGCTGTTGGCCCTCTTCCCCAGTTGGGACACGGCTTTCGCATCTAGGCCGTTACCATGCCCAGTGTCGTCTACGACGCAGCTGAGCTGTAGGCCACTGCAGGGCGTTGTGGGAACAATAACAGTCTCGTCCGAGCCATGCGTTCACTATTGCTTCTTTGTAGCGCTTGGTCCTCACGAGAGCCTCGTCTTGAAGGGAAGTTCAGTGTTGGTAATCTCCGGAGAGGAGGAATTGGCAGACGCTTGAGGCCTGGAGCCAGCACGGCGGGTGCGCTAAGGGATTGGGCGCCTTGCTGTTGTGGGATGCTTACACAGCTTCAAGCGAGGGAACCGCATGTTTGCGACCCTGTATAAGAAGGTATCGAGCCGCTTGGGATGAGATCGACAGGAATATTGCCGTCCTCAGTCACTCCCTCGTGCGTTCCCTTGTGGATCTTTAGGATCTAGTCACTCTTTTGTTCTATTTGTCGGTCAGTTTCTGACCCTTACGCTCTTTACCCAATGAGGTTCAACTCTGTTGCAGCCCTTCTTGGGGCTGCTGTCGCTGTCCAAGCTCTTCCAGCCATTGAAGAGCGCGCACAATATGCCAACTCCTCCATCGAAGCCCCGAAGCAGCAGGGTTTTGAAGTTGTCATTGTCTACGCTCGTCCTGCCGAGGGATGCCCGGCCAAGCCCGCCCACTGCGATGCTGGTGCCCACGACGACCATAAGGCCTACGAGGCTCCTTCTCTTCCCGAACCCTCCATCGCTGAAGACCACGGAGACTCTGGCTTTAAGGGAAGCAAGACTGCTACCCTTGAGCACGATGCTCCTATGGCCACCCTTACCCCCGCCATCCACTGGAATTATGACACTCGCCCGGCCACCAACGTCATCCCCATCGCCCCTGAGAAGGCCTCCGAAATGTTTTACGGCATCACTGGTATGACATTATTCTCTATCAGCTTCTCACCATCGATGGCTAACCCCAACTCACTCAGATCCTTCCAAGGCCGGCCACTTCGCCTTCCTAACCTACTACTTCAAGAGCCCCTCGGTTAACCTCGACCACTGTGACCACGTGACGAATGTCAAGTATGACTCTGATGAGCTGACGATCGGTTTCGGCTCCGAAGAGGCATACGAGCACGCTGTCTCTACCTGGGCTGATGACGAAGATGTCATCCTCATCGTGTACGTCCCTGGCTGCGGCGACTACGCCAAGGGCGATCGCTGCTACTTCCAGGTCAAGGCTCTCTCGTACAAGAAGGGTGACCTCGTCATCGTCGCCGGTGGCAAACCTTGCCACCCAGATGATGTTATCTCCAAGGGTGAGACCGAATGGGGTTGGTGGACTCCTCGCGACGATGGATATGGCCCCAAGGCCCCGAGCACCAAGACCCTGCCTGGCGTCGGAGGACAGGGCACGACCAGCTCTGCCAGGCCTACGACCACTGCTCGCGCTCAAAACACTCAGTCTGGTGCCTCCTTCACCTGGGGAGGTAGCTCGACGTCGATTGTGACTGCCACGACCGTAGGGGGTTCGTCGCCCTCTGGCAGCGCCTCTGCCGGACCTTCGGCCTCTGGGTCCGGCTCGTCTCCTTCTAACTCCCAAGGCCCCTCTGGCACGTCTGCTCCTGGAGCTGGTAGCACATCGGCTGGCTTTGCTGCGGCCAAGCCCAACTGCAATGCTCCTGTTGACACCAAGTACGGTTTGCCCTCAGCCTGTTGGGGTGAGCTCTTCGACTACGACCTTGACACTGATCTCGGCTATGAGCCCTTGAGTGCGGAATATAAGACTTTCGCCCTTAAGCTCGCCCCCGAGCTTGACGACTATGCCGAGGCCGAGGGAGAGACCTTCGACGGCGACTTCTGGAAGACGAACAAGCGGGGTATCCGTGTCCTGAACAAGCGTTTCTGTGGCTTCCTGTGCGACGTTGTGGACAAGTATGTTGTCCAGCCCGTCAAGCAGGTATACAAGTCTGCCCAAGAGGCGAGCTCTATTCCTGGCAGCATTAACAAGGAAGTGAGCTGGAAGCTTCCCGACTCCTCCTCCAAGGATCCTGATGCCAAGACCCTCAAGGATCCTGAGACCAAACAGGTCACTTCTCCGTGGGGTGACTCAATTCTCCTCAAGGCTTTCGGAAACCAGGAGGGCGATGAGAATAAGAAGCTCAATGGTTACATGAACGTCTTCTGCGTTGGCTGTGGTGTTTCCGGCAGTGCCAAGCTCGCTGGCCGTGCTGCCTGGACTCCCCTCGGTGGTGTCTTCACCCAGGGCGAGGTTGAGGTGAACACAGACATCAAGTTCGTACTAAAGGTCGGCATCGACGCCCAGATGACCTACAAGCAAGAGTTCAGTCACACGCTTCTGAATGTCGGCCTGCCTGGTCTGTCCTACGGCGTCGTGACCATCGGTCCTCGCATCACCGTTGGCTCCCGCGTTGAGCTCGAGGCCGAGGCTAAGGGCAAGCTCCTTGCCGGTGCCGAGATGGGTCTGCAGAACGCACACGTGCTCATCGACTTTGTCAACCCCTCCAACAGCAAGCGCGACGGCTGGGACCCCTACTTCAAGCCAGTCTTCGAGGCCGAGGGTGAGATCATGCTCGCCGCGACTCTGGGCCTACCCATTGGTCTCCGCTGCGGTCTCCAGATCGGTCAGTGGGACAAGTCCGTCGGTCTCATCGACGAGCCCTCAATCAAGGGTGTCGCGCAGGTGGCTGCCTCCATCGAGCTGACCGAGGAGAAGAAATTTGCCGCCGGATTCAAGGATATTGACGGTTGCACGGGCATTAGCACCCAGATCAGTTGGAGGAACAAGCTGTTCATTGACATCTTCGGAACCACCCAGATCCCCTG